AGACATAAAGAGGAGTCTCAAAATGGTTGAGACGTAAAGATCGATATATTGGACGACTATGTTCAGACACTGGAAGTGTTTCGAGAGGTTTCAGACATATACCGGAGTACTGGGGGTTACCGGAACCCCCCGGGGGAATATATTGGGCCTAATGGGCCTTAGTGGGAGAATAGGAGGGGCGGCCAGGGCAGCCACGTGCCCCTCCCCCTCTAGTCCGAATTGGACAAGGAGGGGGGCGGCGCCCCCCTTTCCTTCTCTTCTTCTCTCCCTTCCTCTCCTACTCCTACACCTACTTGGAAGGGGGGAGTCCTACTACTCCCGGTGGGAGTAGGACTCCTCATGGGGCGCGCCATAGGAGGCCGGCCCTCTTCCCCTCCTCCACTCCTTTATATACGGGGAGGGGGGCACCCCTTGGTGACACAACAATTGATCATTGATCTTTTAGCCGTGTGCGGTGCCCCCCTCCATCGTAATCCACCTCGGTCATATCGTAGCGGTGCTTAGGCGAAGCCCTGCGTCGGTAGCTTCATCAACACCGTCACCACGTCTTCGCGCTGACGAAGCTCTTTCCGGAAGCTCTACTGGATCGTGAGTTCACGGGATGTCACCGAGATGAACGTGTGCTAAACGCGGAGGTGCCGTATGTTCGGTACTAAGGATCGGTCAATCATGAAGACGTACGACTACATCAACTGCGTTGTCATAACACTTCCGCTTACGGTCTACGAGGGTACGAAGACGACACTCTCCCCTCTCGTTGCTATGCATCACCATGATCTTGCGTGTGCGTAGGAATTTTTTTGAATTTACTACGTTCCCCAACACGGCTTCAGCCGCCGCTCGCTGCAAACGTGGGAGGCGCACCTTCTTTTCGAGGCCAACGTTCCGGTGCCTCCAGACATGCGCGCTAGGCCGACAGGATGGAGGCGCAGCACCGGAGGCGTCCCCATCCCCCCTATCGGTCTTCGTCACGCGCCTCGATTACTTCGCCGGCGAGGTCGACCGCGTTCAGTCGTCGTTGACCAAGGAACAGCGCGCCTCCCCGCAGTACGTCGCCGACAACCACGAGGCATGGGCGGCGTACTTCCAATGCCGTCAGGAGCAACGCCTCGCCTCCACCAACGGGGCGCCGGTGGTGGCGGGCGGCCGGTGGAACAACGAGGGGCGATGCCTGTGGTGGTCCGTTCCCGACCGGACGCTCCGCGAGGTTCTCGCGCGCCTCGAGGGTGGTAACAACCCACCGCTCACATACCCTCGAGGACCGGTCGTCGCTCCGGTGCCCCGCCGCGGCGCCGGGCAATGGATGCCAAGGAGGTTTGTCTCCGGTTCGTCGCCCTCGTCCCGTTCCTCCTCCCACTCCTCCTCCCACTCCTCCGGCTCTCCGGCGGTGTTCGGCGTCAAGGCCGAGCCCGCAGCGGAGACCCCGCTCGGTCGGCGCACCCGCTCGGCCGACATCATCATCAACGAGGGTGGCGGCCGCGCCTCGTCCTCGGCTCCTCCCCGACTCGTCAAGCCGAAGACGGAGCCAGGGCTCCCCGTCGTGAAGAAGGAGCCCGGGCTCGCCAGCGGCGTCAAGGAGGAGGTGCTCGACGACGAAGCGGCCCTCAAATGGGCGCGCGACGACTGGGTGCAGATGGAGAGGGAGCGCCAGTGCGCCGTGCTCGCGTGGTTCGAAGCTCGTCGCCATGGCCGGGACGAGGGAGGCATCGTCGTCCTCGATGACAGCAACAATGACGACAACGCGCCGCCACCGCCCGTTCGCCATGGAGACGCCGGATAGGGGTCCAGCAATGGCGGCCGCGCCATCAAGAAGGAGAAGGCCGCCGATGACGACGAGGACGGCGACGACTTCGCCGCGCTGCTCGAGTTCTTCGCCCCATAGATTAGTTTTTTAAATAATTTATGTAAAACGCCGAACATGTTTAATATGAATATCAAGTTTACCGGATTTTAGCCTAACTTTGCCGAATTCAGCTTTTTTAAAATAAAATAAAACACGTCCGGGGCGACCCTGGGGCGAGCGGCTGGGAACCCGCTCGCCCCCGTGCCGATTTAAGCGCCGGCTCGCCCCTACGGGGTGCGTAAAATCGCCGCCTAGGGGGCCAACGGCTGGAGATGCTCTTAAGCAGGTAGATGTGCAGAACTCGTCTCCATGGTGTTATGTAGAAGTCTATTTGTGCCGACCACAAGGTCATGAGAATTCTAAAGTTCCACATTATGTCTACAAGCTTGATAAAGCTCTATATGGTGTCAAAGAAGCACTCAAAGCTCAGAATTCAAAACTCAGACCAAGTTTCAGGAAATTGGTTTCATTGCTTTGAAATCATACACTGCACTGTTCATTTTCGACAAATCTATAGTAACATTGGTTGTGATCATTTACGTTGATGATATTATTGTCACCAACTTTTCACAATATGTTATTTTAGCCTTACTCACGGATCTCAACGCTGAATTTGCTCTCAAAGATTGCGAGATTTGCATTATTTTTGGGGCATTGTAGCGAGGAGAAAAGTTAATCCACTTCTAACCCAAAACAAATAAGCCAATCCAAATTTTGTTGAAAACAAACATGCACACATGCAAGTCATGGCCTACTCCACCCTTGGTTATTGAAAAACTTTTGGCCCATGTTGGTTACCCTCTTAGTGACGAGGGTTCTATAAGATACGTGAGTACAGTAGGCGATCTTCAGTTTAAAACTCTCACGCCTACCTCTTCTAGCCAGGAGACGAGGGTTCGACCCCCGGCTTCCACACTTTTCCCTCCCTTTTCTCACGTACGTCCTCCCCGACGTATGGTTCATGGGTTGGCCCATGTGCGGGGCTTGACCCCCTGCTTTTTTCCATTTTGTTTTTTATCTTTTCTTTTCCCATTCTGTTTTTGTCCTATTTTAAATGAATTCAGGATTTTCAAATTTCAAAAGTTGAGTGTTTTCGCAAAAAATGTTGAAGAAATAATAAAATGTTTGTGAATTCAAAAAATGTTTATGAAATCATAAAATTTTCGCGGATTCAAAAAAAGTTGGTGGTTTTACAAAAATGTTTGTAAATTATAAAAAAATCATGATTTGGAAAAGAATGGTTGGGCAATAAAATCGTGTTCATGATTTTGAAAAAAACTGATCGTGTATTCAAAACATATTCGGGAATCTGAAAAAAATTGTAAATGAAATTTTAGAAAATGTTCACAAAAATTCAAAAAAAACACGAATTTTAATTTTGTTGCCAAATTTTCAAAAAAATTCATCGATTCAAATACTATTTTTTGAGTCAATTTTTTTTCATGAATTCATAAACTGTTCATGCATTTCAAAACATGTTCTTAACAAAAGTAATGTTTGTATTTTTTTTGAGAAAATCCAAAAAAAATGTTTGTCGATTCAAAAGTATTTTCTGTCTCGGATTTGATTAGTTTTTGAAAAGTCTTTATATGTCTAAGCGTTGGGAGTAGTTCACGGTCGATGCGATTTGTTTTTAAAGCTTTAAAATTCCCTTGCGCAACATAATGACAAGTGTGGCGTGCAGTGGCAAGCCCACAGCCTTGGGATTTACCACGTCAAATGCATTGCGATCCTGTGGACATCGCGAGTATCGTCCGCAAGGGTGGGAAGAAAGATAAGTGACAACATACTGAGCCACCGTGTTAAAATAAAAGGACGCTCATATGTCAAGGTATTGAGTCATACTTATATTTGGCCAGCGCATAATTGTTTTTGTCTTCCGTTGCAACGCACGGACATACTGTGTTTGCTAGTAGACCTAATGAGCATAATCATATTTTCTTACTACTCATTGTTCATTTTGCTACTTTAACAACAATATTATGTACTCCATTTCGAAGCATGGAGTGCTTCCTTATTCAAGTTCAAATGCAAAGCCGACCACTACCTCCATTTCGGGTGCGCAGGACGTTTTACCAAAATTTGCCAATTCAGATATGTTAGGCACAAGGACATTAACTCTACCCAATTTCAGGTCAAAAAATTAACTCCACCCAAGTAGGAGTACTACCTCCACCAGAACTCCCTTTGCATGCAGCCAGTGCATTCAAGTTTCTCTTGTCATTTTTTGGCAATGCCTAGGAGGAAATAGGAGTGAATTACTCGCATTAAACAACTACATGCTCATCCTGGTCGAGGTGCAACGGCTGAAACGCCCAAATATACAGCGCAGCGGATGGGGCAACTGAAGCAAACAAAAATGATCAGCTCATGCTATTAGTGTGTGCTGCTACTACTACTAGTAGTAGTACTTTATGGCATGTCATCAGTGCCACGATCCTCAAAACTGAAAGCCACGGCCTCTCCTCTGCTCTAGACCTGGCCCCCTGGTTTTACAGCCCTCTCCCATCATCATTTGGAATCGGAATCCTGTTTGTGTGTCTGTCGATTGCTTGTTCCCGTGATCTTCCTCCGTCCTAGCCTAGGCCCCCTCATCGCAGGTCAATAACACCCGGTCATCCTCCAAGTATCTTGTCACCTGGCTCATCCTTTCCAGGTTCTTGCTTGCCGCACAGCCCCCTATTAATGCTTCCTCCTGTCAATCTCATGCTCAAATCCGCCTTTCTCCCCCCGTCTGGTTGCCGCTTGCTTGTTTTCGAAGCTGTTCCGATTGGCTATGTTGATGCAAGAGTTTTCATCTTGATTGACTTGAGGTGTTCTTGATTGGGCAGCCTTGCTCTGTTCGTCGCTTGGCTTTTCTTTTCGGTAATCCCTTCCCCAAGCCCTGAATTTGAGCTGGTTCTTGGTCCACGAAAGCAACGTCGATTTAGGGAAAAAGATCTTCCGTCTATAAAATATTGTGTCCTGATCTTAATTCCCTGCCATGTATAGCAGGGTTGGCGCTAGTTCTTGATTGGTGGGAAAGAAACGCTCGTATTAATTCCCGGCCAGTTTTTGATCGGTTCTTGTTCCAAAGGTCGGCAAGGAATCCCAAGCTCCTGCCATCGACCGGCTCCCTATCCGACCAAGCTAGCGAGCGGGCGTGCGACCGGAATAAATGGGGGTCGCCGGCGGCAGCGGCTGCGTGGCCAAGGCGGCGGCGGTGGCGGTGGTGGTGCTGTGCATGGCTCGGTGGTCGGCCGGTGGCATGGGCGTGAACTGGGGCACGCAGCTGAGCCACCCGCTGCCGGCGAGCACGGTGGTGCGGCTGCTCAAGGACAACGGCTTCGACCGGGTGAAGCTGTTCGACGCCGAGGACGGCATCCTGGGCGCGCTCAAGGGGTCGGGGATCCAGGTGATGGTCGGCATCCCCAACGACATGCTCTCCGACCTCGCCGGCAGCACCAAGGCCGCCGAGCGCTGGGTCACGGCCAACGTCTCCAAGCACGTCAACGACGGCGTCGACATAAGGTACATTTGCTTCTGTGTTCTTTTTTCCTTTTCTTCGCTGTTTTTCCTTTTGTCCACGTCGATTTGGTCGAAGAAATATATCCCTGGCCGCTTGACAAGAAAATGAACGGCTTCGATGCATAAATTTTCCTTGTTCAATGCAGAAATTGAATGGCTTCTAATTAAAGGCTCCACTAGTGTAATTTTTCCAGTGGAATTCATGTGTATCCTGTGTACTACTCCACTCCCTCAAGATTTTACATTTGTACTCTTTTTTTCTGAACCAAAAAACCTTGTGTGGTAGTCGCCTAAGTTCTGGTCAGTTCGGGCGAGTTGTGCAGTGGGGTCCAGCCACAACTTTGGCATGCTACATCACACATTAAGGTTAAGGCGATCCTTTTTATCTTCTCCAGATGTCTGTCTTAAAACAAGTTGTGCAGCAGCAAGCTAGCAAGTGTTGCTGTCAAACCAAATCAGAAGCTTCAAAAGACATCGAGCAAAGCTAGCTTGCTAGGCCCCTTCACTTTAACGGGGAAGACCACAGCGCCAAGCAACTGAAATTCTCGTCCGCCCATAATTCTTTTTTCCTTTGCAACCAACAATTGTTTATATTTTAAAAGATTCCAATTTCTCGCAAAACATTTTGATTGAAAACAAATGACATGTGTGAATTCGGCAGTGTTTTTTATGCTTGCAATGTTCCATGGAAAACGTTTTTGTGCTTAAATTTTACTTTTGAAGCACTTCTTCTGGTGAAAATTTAAAGCATTTTCAAATTTCCACTACTCATGACGGGAGCACTTGCATGTGCCATGCATATAAAAGTTAGGCTTTCCTTCTTTCCTTGTCGTGCACTTCCTTCGCCAAGTGCTTACCTTAGGGTGAAAAACGATAACCCTATCTCTTTTGGTGATACTGATTCTGCCACTGCCGTGGGTTTGCCCTGATTGAGGCATCAATTTATCGGCAGTGAACAAAAGGCTGAAAGCTCAAAAGAAACCACAGCCGCTCCGAGAGAGAGTTTGACACGTTGGGCAATAGACTCATTATCTGCATCTATGTGCTTTTCAAAGTTATCTTGTCAAAGTCCAGCAATCCAGAAAGGTCATGCACCATCTCCAATTCTCCATGAATCTGAATTATTACTGCTTTTTCGCGTAGAATTATTACAGCCTTGTTGCCTGTGAATTTTTTGTGTTCGAGATTATTGGGTTATTCAATTCTGATTTTTCCATTATGGAGGTAAATTTCTTTTGTTCAAAGGAAACAAAACTTTCATGGCCGTTCAGCTGTCCCAATCTTCGTCTCACGAATATCCAGCTCCATTGCACAAATAATTCTCAAGACATTCTTTTTTGGGGGAAATGATCATCATGAGAACTCAGCATCAGGAACCTGTGTGCCAAATAATTCTTAGCACAAATATATAGTGACTATTTTTTGTTTGTGTGTGTGTATTTTTCCATGGTCGGTCATGCCATCATATGTGATGCAGATATATATCACAATCATCTCACCTCATATTCCACCTCTAATCACGATGCATTTAGCAGATTGCTCTGAAATTTAAATCACAGCAGCCAATTGTTGCCGTGCCAGTCCTGCTACTGAGTAACAACACTGACGCGATCGGTGACGGGTGCAGGTTGGTGGCCGTCGGGAACGAGCCGTTCCTGCAGACGTTCAACGGCACGTACCTGAACACGACGTTCCCGGCGATGCAGAACATCCAGGCGGCGCTGATGGCGGCCGGGCTGGGCGGCCAGGTGAAGGTGACGGTGGCGCTGAACGCCGACGTCTACCAGTCGGCGACGGGGAAGCCGTCGGACGGCGACTTCCGTGCGGACATCCACGGGCTCATGCTCGACATCGTGCAGTTCCTGGCGTCCAGCGGCGCGCCGTTCGTGGCCAACGTGTACCCGTTCATCAGCCTGTACGCGGACCCCAACTTCCCGCTGGACTACGCCTTCTTCCAGGGCTCCACCTCGCCGGTGGTGGACGGCGGCGTGATGTACCAGAACACCTTCGACGCCAACCACGACACGCTGGTGGCGGCGCTGCGCAGGAACGGGTTCCCCAACGTGACCGTCGTGGTCGGCGAGGTCGGCTGGCCCACGGACGGCGACGCCAACGCCAACCCGGCGTACGCGCAGCGGTTCAACCAGGGCCTCCTGGACCACGTCGCCTCCGGGAAGGGCACGCCGCTGACGCCGGGCGCCCCCGTCGACGCCTACCTCTTCAGCCTGGTCGACGAGGACAGGAAGAGCATCCAGCCGGGCAACTTCGAGCGCCACTGGGGCATCTTCTTCTACGACGGGAAGCCCAAGTACCAGCTCAGCCTCCGCGGCAACGGCGGCGGCATGCTCGTGCCGGCGAGGGGCGTCGAGTACCTCCAGAGGCGGTGGTGCGTGCTCAAGCCCGGCGCCGACCTCGGCGACCAGAAGGTCGGCGACAGCGTCAGCTACGCCTGCGGCAGCGCCGACTGCACCAGCCTCGGGTACAAGACGTCGTGCGGCGGCCTCGACGCCAAGGGCAACGTGTCGTACGCGTTCAACAGCTACTACCAGACCGAGGACCAGGACGACCGGGCCTGCGACTTCCGCGGACTCGCCACCACCACCACCGTCGACCCCTCTACCGGGACGTGCCGGTTCATCGTCGGGATCGCCCCGACCAGCGCGGCGACGAGGAACGTCGCCGCCAGGGCAGCGGCCGTCCTCTTCGCGGTGTTGCTCGCGGGCGTGTTCTGAGTTCAGGATCGTGGTCGATGCTTTATTAGTTTAGCTGTCAATCTTTCAGCTTTTCCTTTTTCTTGGCAGAAATAGTTGTTCATCTTGATTGTCATTCGTGAGTAGGGTGTGAGCCGTATCCGGTGGAGTTATTGCATCTTTCTTTCTTTTTTGCCACCTTGGACATGCTAAGAAAATGCAATGAGAAATACATGGTTTAGTAGCACTGCACCGTAATTTGTCCTCGTATAAGGTACGCATTCCGCTAGTCCCCAAATAATGATTACAGTGTAGATGCTTTCAAATTAAACAGTACAAGGAGTAGATGCTTTCAAATTACTTCATTAATGATTTACCATTTGTCTCTTATTCTAGTTGATAGATTCATATGAAAGTAACAGTTATGGAATAATATAAATTACTTCTATCGCTTTTGTAAGAGGTATTGTGCATCGAACCAAAATTATATAAATTTCAGAACTGCTATGAAATAACCTAGTACTTAAGCAGTTGGTCATAATTGATTCATATGCTATCTTGTTGTAACTTCACTGATTTCACTGACTGCCTAGGCATAGCTGAAAACATGGGATTGTATGAGATTTATTTATCAATGTAGTACTGTGAAGAATAAATTCAAATGATTGCTTTGATATTTCACTTCAACATCTTACTCGTTCCTTTTATGTTGTAACATAGTCTTGAAATGGATACAAATGGATGTTTTAGTGATTTGTTATGGTCTTATGGATGCCTCGGAGATAGCACAAAATATCCAAAACTTGAGAAAGTGTGACAATCCTTTAAATTCGCATGTTGTCCGTTAGACTTAGTGGTTAACTAAAGTCTAATTATTGCGTGTATTGATGCATCCTAAGATTTGTTTGAATGTATTGTGTCACCGTGTTGGCATCCCATTTGATCCTCTATGTACATCAGCTTTAGAGAACCTTGTTTTTATCATATTACTAAGATGAGGAAAATCAACGTCGACAAATATTTGATATCGACATTGGTGGAGCGTTGGTGGCCTGAGACAAATAGTTTTCACGTACCTGGAGGAGAAATGGCTATTATGTTGCAAGATGTCAGTTGTTTATGGGGGTAGCCTATCAATGGTAAACCACTTGTTGGCTAAGAATTTGTCACATTACCACCAGTAGAAGATGGAGCATGTGCCCTGTCGAAATCAGGACCACGTGTATTACAATTTGAAAAGGCCTTGATAGATGTTTGATGCAATAATGAATGTATTGCACTTCCATACCTTTGTGATTGCCTTTTAATTATTGGTATGTTGCTTCCACCGCCGACTTGGCTCAACATGTCTCAGTTTGGCATGAAATTAACATATAACTCTATCACTTGCCACATTGTCAAGGACTTGGTCTTGTCAAAAATCATGTTCCATAATCTTTCCTCATATAATGAAATTAATTGAAAATAATATGATCCGGGGGATCCAATATCATAGCGAGCTTGGATATTCGGGTTGTTTTGAGCACTGACATTAACTTGTCTAAATCATCGACATGTCTCACTTTTGATGTCTTCAAAATTGGTTTTCTCGGATGCTGGAAATGTTAATTTCGGAGAAACACTATACTCCACACCCATGGATCTATGTTGCACTTCACCATCCATGTAAACCAGAATGATTAACATGTTCTTATACTATAGTCTGACAACTGAAAATTGGTCTACTATAGTCTGACAACTGAAAATTTGGCTTCTCGTAGACTAGCCAATTAAGAACCATAACCCAGGAATAAGAATCCAATCATTTACAAAGTATCCACTTGTAAATCATTGAATTAATCAAATTTTTTTGTGTGGCATTGAACTAATTGTATAGACGATTCAAACAAATGAGATGCAATAAGATCGTCGAACAACTAACGTGAACCAACCACAAAATCGATTGGAGGATCCTAATGAAGAGCGAACGGTGAGATGATGCCGCTCCTCGGTGTTGTCGGCTGCTGAAGGTTGCTTACCGTACGGTGGTCAAGGAGCACTGACTTCATGCATACTAAGGTTTATAGCTCACTTTCATATATGTCACTAGGAAACGACCATGTTTAGTCCGATATGACGGCTGGGCAAACCTCAAAACTGGACGTCGTTAGTAATAGCGTTTAGAGTTGGACGCTGTCTACAATGGCATCCGGCCGTGGACGCTGTCCTCAATTGCGTCCTTATTTTTCAAATTTTCACCCAGCCTTTGACCGGTTTTAGAACTACTGGTTTGTCAATTACTTTCTCCGTTTTAAAATAGATTACTTAACTTTGTATTAACTTTCGGAGGGAGTTATTTATTTTAAAACGGAGGAAGTATTATCTATGGACTGGACTAACTACCGATCAGTCGTTAGTTAGTAACAGATTCGGACGATTTTCCACCTGTGCTGACCGAGGCTGTATGCACCGGAGCAAAAGCGTGACTTCACATACACACTTGCATACTATTTTATTCTTCATGCACAATAACTCATTGGATGCATGCAAAAAAGACGAAATTGCTTACGTCAGCAAAGGTATAATCTAAATTCAATATTCAAAATGTTTTGTAGACCAAACAGTAACTCCGATTCAAAATCTGTTTTCACACAAAATATTCGTCACGACGAGATCTTCAAAACTAGATCCCATGTTAATATGTTCCGACAACTTTTTTTTCCGAACAAAAGTTACCACATCGGCTATGTAAGTTATCACGCATGTGCTACATATGTTACCATGTTGTTTACACAGGTATTACCGGGGCATAAAACTGATTTCTCTAACCTTCTTATCAGATACACATGTATGCATGCACAGGGACAAAAAGGTTGTCATTCTAGATTCTTCCTAGATGATTTTTTTTTTTAAAATTGTAGCTCAAAGATCACCTCGGATTGAAAAACTATTTTTATATAAAAAATCATCATGATGAGACCTTCCAAACTAGATCATATGTTTATATGTTCCGATGACTGCTTCTAAAAAAGTTATCATGCCTATGCTTTACACAGAAAATTAATAGAGCGTAAAAATGATTCCTCCAACTTTCTCATCACATGCACATGCATGCATGCACTACAGATAAAAAAGTTGATCTCATACTTTTTCGAAAGTTCAAAAATATTTATAGCTTAAACCGTCGGTCCTGGAAAATCGTTTTAACATAAAAAATCCTTCGCGACAAGAGTTTCGAAGTTAGATCTCATATTAGTATGTTCCAGCGGCTTTTCTCTAAAATGTTTCAACGCGTGTGCTATGTAAGTTATCAGCACTATTATGTGCATATTACCATACTATTTAGACGGAAGTTATCAGGGGGTGTGTTTCCATAACATTTCCGCCGGGTCAAAAGGTACCGCTACATTTTTACATGAGTTATCATCTTTGTTGTGCGTAAGTTACCGTGTTATTTACACAAAAGTTATCGAGGGGGGTGTTTACAATAACTTTTTTTCCATGTCAAACTTTACATAGTGTTTGTATATAAGTTATCATGTCTATGAAGTTTATATTACCATGCTGTTTACACAACAATTACCGGGTTATGTTTCCAGGGTCAAAAAAGTTGTCGCAGTGTTTATACCTAAGTTATCAGGTCTGTAGTGCGTATATTACCATGACATTTACACATAAGTTACCGTGGTATGTTTTCAATAACTTTTTTCCAAGGTGAAAATTGCCGTGGTGTTTGTGACCTAAGTTATAAGTTATGTGGTGCATATATTGCCATGTTTTTTTACACATAAGTTATCAGGGGCATATTTGCATAAACTTTTCTCCTAGTTCAAAAAAACATTACCACGGTGTTTGGGTGTGAGTTATCAGATCAGGATTCGTATATCACCATGATGTTTACACATAAGTTACTGGGGTATATTTTCATCAACTTTTTTTCTCAGGTCAAAGTTACCGTAGAATTTGTATCTTAGTTATCTGGTCCACGGTGCATATATTACCACGCTATTTATATCGAAGTTATCGGAGATATGTTTGCAACAACTTTTTCCCTCGTCTCAAAAGTTATGAAGGTGTTTATGCATGAGTTATCAGTACTGTGATGTGTATAGAGATTAATGGGCTTATGGTTTTAACAACTATTTTTCCCAATTTAAAGTTACCACAGTGTTTTTGCGTAAGTTAACAGGTCTGCGACTGCGATGCGTGTTTATCATGTTATTTACACAGAAGTGACTGAGAGATGTTTTCAACAACTTTTTTCCTTGGTCAAATTTACCGCAGTGTTTTATACCTAAGTTATTAGGTCTGTGATGAATATATTATCATGTATGTAATTCTCAAGTCTGCAGCGCGTAAATTGCCATGCTAATTACAAAACAAAAGACCGAGGTATGTTTCAACAACTCTTTTCACCCAATTAGCAACATGCTAACTTTTGCATTAGCATCGCGGTAGCTATACATGAACAACCTGGTAACTTAAAAATTAGCAGCCTGGTAACCCGTAGAATAATTCAAGAGATTTTTTTTTTGAAACAGCGTAGTAATAAAGGTTCAACTACGTTGTTTATAGTGTGGACAACAACAAACGACGGTTGAATTGGTTGAGGGGCATGAAGTAAGCTCAGCCAACTTGAGTTCAAATCCCCTTTCTTGTGCTTTATTTTTCAAGACCAAAACTCCTCCAGAAAATCACGATCGAGATCCACCCGAAAATCACGATCACAACCTTCCCAAAATATCGAGGCCACGATCGGGGGAAAAAAAATTCTATGAGACCAGGTCTCACGGATTAGCAGGTGAGACCCATTCTGATGGATGACACGTGGCATTCACAAATCACAAAGCATCCACCCCACAGGGCGGGTCTCACCTGATTTATATGAGACCTGGTCTCATATAATTTTTTTTCCACGATCGGGATCCATCCTCCTTCAAAAAGGAAACAAAATATGGACAGCGCGCGTAAAAAAAGGCGAACCATTATTCCCGCAAATGAGGATCATCCTATTAAAGCGACAATTGCCCTTGATGACCACCGTGGGATGGCGATCGGACGCCTCCGAGGTCGTTCCGACCTGTTGCAAAATTACGGCAGGATTTTAGCTTTCTCGATTATCTATTAATAAAAATTTCTTCATATTCCCACCGGTAGCGTTCGATCGATGCTAAAAAAAAAGTAGCGTTCGATTGAAACCCGACCCGCACCAGATCTCACCAGATCCCATCGTCCAGCTCCCTTTCCGTAACAGCGACCAGCCAACAAACGGACCAGAAAATGCCAATTTCAGCTCCAGAATCGTGGCGACGATTGCTGTGGGCAGCTCTCCTCGTCGCTCCGCTCGCCGCTCTGCTCTACCAGTTCCCGATCCAATTCCCCGGCGCCCCGTACACAAAGGCCGTCCCCGCCATGGACGCCGGCGCCGAGCTGGAGCTGGAGTACGACATGCCGGGCGTCCTGCGCGTGCACAAGAGCGGCCGCGTCGAGCGCTTCGACGGCGTCGAGACCGTCCCGCCCTGCCCCTCCGGGGACCCCGCCAACGGCGTCGCCTCCAAGGACGTCGTCCTCGACCCCGCGGCCAGCATCCACGCCCGCCTCTACCTCCCTTCCGCCGCCGCCGCCGCCGCGGAGCCCGGCAAGAAGCTCCCCGTCGTCGTCTTCTTCCACGGCGGCGCCTTCTTCGTCCACACTGCCGCCTCCCCGCTCTACCACAGGTACTGCGCCTCCCTCGCCGCCGCGGTCCCCGCCGTCGTCGTCTCGGCCGACTACCGCCTCGCCCCGGAGCACCCACTCCCGGCCGCCTACGACGACGCCTTCGCGGCCCTCAAGGCGGTCGTCGGCGCGTGCCGCCCCGACGGCGCCGAGCCCTGGCTCGCCGCGCACGGGGACGCCTCCCGCGTCGTCCTCGCGGGGGACAGCGCCGGGGCCAACATGGCGCACGCCACGGCGATACGGCTGGGGAAGGAGGGCATCGACGGCCACGGCGGCAAGGTGAGCGGCGTGGCGCTCCTGAACCCCTACTTCTGGGGGAAGGAGCCGGTGGGCGGGGAGCCGACCGACGCCGGGTACCGCGGCGGCTTCGAGCGCGCGTGGGAGGTGATCTGCAGCGGCAGGTTCGGGCCCGACCACCCGTACATCAACCCGGCGGCGTCCCCGGTGGAGTGGAGGCGGCTCGGGAGCGGCCGCGTGCTGGTGACCACGGCGGAGCACTGCTGGTTCGTGGAGCGGGCGCGCGCGTACGCGGAGGGGATCAAGGCGTGCGGGTGGGACGGCGAGCTCCAGTTCCACGAGACCAAGGGCGAGGCGCATGTCTACTTCCTGCCCAAGTACGACTCGGACACCGCCGTCAAGGAGCTCGCCATGGTGGCCGATTTCGTCAGGCGCTGTTGAGGTTTTGCTTCTTCGCCCGGTGAATGATTCGGCAGCAAAGGAGCACACAGTTTGTGATGTATTTCATGCTTTTTTTGTTATACATTTGTATGAAGTTCGTAAGACTGGTTGATGAATACTCCCTCCGTCCTGAAATTCATGTCGCAGCTGCCATTTTGCAATTTACTCCTCATCCTTTTCCCGACAAAACCCGAAGTCCCTCTGTGTAGTCGCTTTCTTCCTCCTTACTCTCCGACCAGCCGGCGCCGCCTGCGCCGCTCCCCTCCACGCAGCTCCAAGCCGCCTGCGCCTTCTCTCCCTTCCCCGTGGTTCCTCTCCCTCCCCAGCGCCGGCGCCCTCTACCTTGCGCGCGTCACCGGCGCTCTCTTCTTCTCGCATGTCCCTCCGCATCGGTGAAAATGTGATTTTTTTTTCCTCCGGCACTCCGATCTGCAGCGGTCGTGCTCAATCTACGTCGGGGACTACCAAGACGGTGCGACGGAGCTGCTTCTGCCGGTCGCCTGCACGGAGCTGCTGCTACAGGTCGTCAGGTGAGGAGCGCGTCTCCTGCAGCCGTGGCTACCTGGCCACGCAGCAGCGGCGACGGGATGGTGGCGGCAAGGGGGATCCTCCGTCCGCTCTAGAACTCCACACGGCCAAGGGGGCGAGCTCCTCCGTCCGCTCTAGGACTCCACACGGCCAAGGGGGCGAGCTCCTCCGTCCACTCTAGGACTCCACCGCCAAGGGGGCACGCCCTTGCATCCGGGAGGTGCTCGAGCTTGTCAAAGGTGCCCCTCCCCTTCTGTGATGCCCCGAGACCGATGTGCCAGGTGTCCTCCAGTTATTCGTTGTTGTTGCCTTGTCTTTTGCTTGCGTGTCGCATCTTGCCATGTCATCATATGCATTGCATCATCATGTTTTAAAAACTTGCATCCGTTAGGGTTCTCTGAGTTCTCTCCATTGTCCGTTCTGAGCCCAACCTCACTTGCACGCGCCCGCGGCACATCTGAAATATTATTTTATAAGTGGCCGGAAAATGTTCTCGGAATGGGTTGAAAGTTGGCGTGTGGTCTTGTTTTAGTGTAGATAGACCGCGTGTCAAGTTTCATTGCATTCGGAGTTCGTTTGATAGTCCAACCGTTAAATATAGCGGCAATAGTAGCCGGTCTAACGTCGGACGTTTTCGGTCTCCGGAAACAGTTGCCGGGCTGCACTCCTCTCCTCTCATCTCAGCCCAACCTCTCTTCACAGCCCACTACCTACCGCCAGGTCCAACCTAACCTCTCTCCTCAGCCCGCGGCCCTCCTCGCGCGCGCGTTCGAAAAGTTGTCCCGGACCCGACCCGAGCAGTCGTCACCGTCGTGTCCGGATCATCCCCAAACGTCTGCAAAACATCACCGTTTTCTTATTTGGCCTCCCTAGCCTATGTTTTCCTGACCGTCCGATTCTGATCAAAGGGACGAGTTAGCCCCTAACCTTACCTACTCGCTATATATATTAGTCTAAGCTGAGACCAAATCCCTAATTTCTAGGGATCCTCTAGCCGCCGCCGCCCCGTCTCATCACCCAGCTCGGGATCCCCATCCCACCAACCACCACAGCCCGAGCTCCACCTTGTTTTCCCCACCGGACCAATCCATCGATCCACCTCCCTCCATCGATCCCCGAGCGCCCCTGCAGCCTCCCGCGTCTGATCCAGGGAGAGCAGCACCCTCCCGTGCTCCTCCACGACGTGCTCCTTCCACCGAGCCCCGCGCCTCTCCTCCAGTTCGCCTGCCGTCACCCCTGGCGAGCAGTCCTACCGGCGACCACTAGCAGGCCAGACCGCCTCCCATGCTTTCTCCTTTCTCTTCCTTTCCCTCTCTCTCTCTCTCTCTCTCTCTCTGGCCGCTCTGACCTCCCATGCTCTCCATCTTTCCTCTTTGGACAGAAGCAGGTCGCTCCCCTCGTCCAGTTCGAGATTCGGAGGATCCCCGTCGTCAGCCACCTCGAGCCACCCCGCGCCAAGTCCCGCTGCCAACGCCTCCCGCATCGTGCCCGGTTCCACGCCCTCCGTCCTTTGCTTCCGCGCCGAAGATCCCTAACGCCGCTGCTCTGCTCTGCTTCTTCTCGAGCAGAGGAGTGCGGCCGCTACCCTCTGCTTCGCCTGCTCGATCTGGCCAAGCGAGCGCCTCTTTCGCGTTGACCCCGTCGTCGATCGCGCCTCACCCAGCTGGCTGGGTCACAGCCTCGTCAAGGCCCAGCGCCTCAAAGCCGAGCCGACCGCTTCGGCCTGCCTCCTCCCCGTGTCAACGGGCTCGGCCCATGGTGAGCAGTCCTGCCAAGCCAGCCTCTGCTGCAAGCCACTCCACGGGTTCAAGGCCTCGAAGGCCCAATGTGAGCAGCCCAGTCCCAGCCAGATTCGGCCCGATGCGTGTTTTTTTTCCTCTGTTGCGATTTTAGTATTTATCCGGAGACTCCAGTTTTACAGAAAAGACCCTCATGTTCATGCATATAATAACTCACAATTCGTGCATCGGATTAAAATGTTTTATATATGAAACTTGCTTAGAATTTCATCTAGTTTAATAATATGCAACTTTCATCCATGTTTAAAATGTCTAAAATGATGTTTGTTTAAATTTGCTCCTATGCCATGCTAAAATGATTTAATTCATAACTAAATAACCGTAACTCCGAATTTAATAAACTTTATATGTAAATGGGGTAGAATTTTGCCTAGTTTAACATGGTGGCCTCACTTTGCATGTTTAAAAACTCTAAAATATTGTTAAGGGCAGAACAGTACCAAACTTGAAAATATGCATATGAGGAGTTTCCGGAAATTGTTGTTCGTTGTTTCCGGCCTCATTTAAACTTGACTAGATAGCTAGTTTTCATTTGCTTCACCTCTTGCCATGCTAACCACATTTAATCTTGTTGGGTACATAAACGAGAGAGAACTAAATAAGTCATGTGGTGTTTCGTCAATATGCAACGGAGTTGCATATTGAGCTCCACTTAATCTGTAGGATTGTTTGTGCACTTCGCCATGCCATGCCATGTATCATTAAACCGGACATGCATCATACTTGTTTGCGCATCGTGCCATGCTTATGTGGTGATTGTTTACTATGTTGTTTGCATCTTTCCGGTGTTGCTTCTTTGGGTTGGTTCCGATAACGTCGTGTTTGTGAGGACCCGTTCGACTACGTCCGTATGTCTTCTTCATGGACTCGTTCTTCTTCCTTGCGGGATCTCAGGCAAGATGACCATACCCTCGAAACCACTTCTATCTTTGCTTGCTAGATGCTCGCTCTTTTGCTATGCCTATGCTGTGATACCTACCACTTGCTTATCATGCCTCCTACTTTGTTGAACCAAGCCTCTAACCCACCTTGTCCTAGCAAACCGTTGTTTGGCTATGTTACCGCTTTGCTCAGCCCCTCTTATAGCGTTATTAGTTGCAGATGAAGATTGAAGTTTGTTCCTTGTTGGAACATGGAGATCGTTCCTTGTTGGAACATGTTTACTTGTTGGGATATCACAATATATCTTACTTAATTAATGCATCTATATACTTGGTAAAGGGTGGAAGGCTCGGCCTTATGCCTGGTGTTTTGTTCCACTCTTGTCGCCCTAGTTTCCATCATATCGGTGTTATGTTCCCGGATTTTGCGTTCCTCACGCGGTTGGGTAATAATGGGAACCCCTTGACAGTTCGCCTTAAGTAAAGCTCCTCCAGCAATGCCCAACCTTGGTTTTACCATTTGCCTCACCACCACCTATTTTTCCCTTGGGAGTCGCTCTCTCGAGGGTCATCTTTATTTTAACCCCCCCGGGCCAGTGCTTGTCTAAGTGTTGGTCCGAAATGGGCTGCCTGCGGGGCCACCTCGCGGAAACTTGAGGGCTGGTTTTACTCGTAGCTTGACCTATCCGGTGTTGCCCTGAGAACGAGATATGTACAGCTCCCATCAGGATGTCGGCGCATCGGGCGGTGTTGCTGGTTTAGTTTTACCCTGTCGAAATGTCTTGTTGTACCGGGATACCGAGTCTGATCGGAATGTCTCGGGAGGAGGTCTATTCCTTCGTTGACCGTGAGAGCTTGTCATGGGCTAAGTTGGGACACCCTGCAGGGATTTGAACTTTCGAATGCCGTGCCCGCGGTTATGGGCAGATGGGAATTTGTTAATGTCCAGTTGTAGATAACTTGAACCTTAACTTAATTAAAATGAATCAACAGCGTGTGTTACCGTGATGGTCTCTTTCCGGCGAAGTCCGGGAAGTGAACACGGTGTTGGAGTTATGCTTGACGTAGGTTGTTCTAGGATCACTTCTTGATCATAGATTCTCGACCGTGCTTTGCCTTCTCTTCCCGCTCTCTTTGGCGTATGTTAGCCACCATATATGCTAGTCGCTTGCTGCAGCTCCACCTGATACCTTTTACCTTACCCATAAGCTTAAATAGTCTTGATCGCGAGGGTGCGAGATTGCTGAGTCCTCGTGGCTCACAGATACTTCCAAAACCAGCTTGCAGGTGCCGATGAGTCCGTGCAGATGACGCAATCTAGCTCAGGAGGAGCTCGATGAAGATCTTGTCCTTTGTGTTGTTTCGTTCTAGTTGATCAGTAGTGGAGCCCAGTTGGGGTCGATCGGGGACCTTGTCGCATTTGGGGTTCTTCTTTTATTTTGGTTCCGTAGTCGGACCTTGATTGTATTTGGATGTTGTAATGCTTTATTCATGTATTTATGTGAAGTGGTGATTGTAAGCCGACTATGTATCTTTTCCCCTTATGTATTACATGGGTTGTGTGAAGATTACCTCACTTGCGCCATTGCTATCAATGCGGTTATGCCTCTAAGTCGTGCTTCGACACGTGGGAGATATAGCCGCATCGAGGGCGTCACAAGTTGGTAATCAGAGCCTTCCCCGACCTTAGGAGCCCCCACTGATTGATCGTTTTTAGCAGCCAAGTTGTGTCTAGAAAAATGTTTTGAGTCATTTAGGAATTATATATCAGAGGGTTTAGGAATTCTTTTTA